CATTTGACTTGGGAAAAAAAAAAAAACACTTCTTTAACTTTCTTACTCAGGAGGAGTTGTTATGAACAAAAGGTGTCCTTTTCAATTAAACTGAGGACACACGCAAAAAAAACAACAACATTCAGGCAACTATAAAAAAGGAATCTGGCATTCCAGGATGAATGTTTGTTCTATCTTTGCAGGTAATAGAAAGAGAAATGTAAATGTGATTCAGACAAGGTATTCGTGAAGAGGAAACAGTTGACGTTTACTGCAGTCAAAGTCACATTACACAAAGATACGTGTATAAGTAACACAGACCTTGCTCTGCATTTTCACACTGATTTTTGCGGCTGGGTTTATTTCAAATTAAAATACAAAGGAAGCCCATAACAACAGCATGTCTAGTAAATACTGTATACTGTACTTAACAAAACTGAACTAATTCAGCTACTCCTAATGCACAAATACTTCTTTAGCTGTAGTATCTGACTCATTAGTAGCTGCAGGTAGAGTACAGGAAGTGGTATCAGGTTGTATTTATTGTCTACTTACTTAAAATAATTCCACTGCTATCAATGCAGAATTACTTCTACCTGTCAAAATACTTTAACCCATCATCTGTTACTTCCTTATTTTAATGCCCTCTATTTCTCAACACAATGCCACTATGTGTTCTGGAACTAACTGACAGTGAAACATTAAAGTCTTGTCTAAAGCCAAAGCAGGAATCAATCAAGTGAGATATCACCTGGGAGGACTGGGGGATCTGAACTGATGTTGTTCTTGTGGATTTAATAATTTAGCTGCTGCAGTTATTTTCTAACTCCTGTTCAGGTCTATGCTGGATAAATTAGACTGCTCCCAACTTTTGGGAAACCATGTTTGTTTGTTGTTTGTTTGTTTGTTTTCTTTCTAAGCTGCTGTTTTAATTTGGATGTGATTTGGAAATATAAGAAACTACAAAAACCCTGATATAATAATAATAATAACTGCTTACACTTATATAGCACTTTTCTGGACACTCCACTCAAAGCGCTTTACAGGTAATGGGGACTCCCCTCCACCACCACCAATGTGCAGCATCCACCTGGATGATGCGACGGCAGCCATAGTGCGCCAGAACGCTCACCACACATCAGCTATCAGTGGGGAGGAGAGCAGAGTAATGTAGCCAATTCATAGAGGGGGATTGTTAGGAGGCCATGATTGATAAAGGCCAATGGGAAATTGGCCTTTACACCCCTACTCTTTTCGAGAAACGCCCTGGGATTTTTAACGACCACAGAGAGTCAGGACCTCGGTTTTACATCTCATCCGAAGGACGGCACCTGTTTACAGTATAGTGTCCCCGTCACTACACTGGGGCATTAGGACCCACATGACTGCAGGGTGAGCACCCCCTGCTGGCCCCACTAAGACCTCTTCCATCAGTAACCTTAGTTTTTCCCAGGAGGTCTTTATAGGATGCAGTATACCAATGTATGGGTTAGCAAATAATGTATTTGAAAATAAATATCTAAGTATGAAATTAGTTTTTAACCTTAGTTTTTCCCAGGAGGTCTCCCATCCAGGTACTGACCAGGCTCACACCTGCTTAGCTTCAGTCAGTTGCCAGTTGTGAGTTGAAGGCTGATATGGCTGCTGGGTATAACTTGGATACAGTCCATAACTGAAGTGTAAATTCAGTACCTACTGTATTGTTTGGATGAAGAGTTCCAAATATATTAAGCTATCATTTAATGTAACCTCACTGCAACTACATGACTGATTTGAAACTAAACCATAATATTTCACATCATCTGAGATGATATATACCTTGCCATTTTTACTGCATTTATTACTGCTTTATTCTTTATTATTGCTTTAATACCACGTCACACTGAGCACCATTTAAGACATACAGCTCTAATTCATATCACTTAATATAGGGATTTATCATTCAATGTGTGACATTACATTGTGTAGAGTTCCTTTTTTGCCCATTTTGCTTCAAAATATTGCTTTTGTATTTTCGATATGCATAGAAATGTATGCAAAGCAAAGTCTTTTCTGCAGGCAATGTAAGGCCTGTTACATGTGAAGTCTGAAATTTGGACTGAAGTCCTTGTTTTTAAAGAGGGTCTATAAAGGCAGTTCTATCACAGTTTTCCACAATTTAAGAGACTCACTTGTCTCTCAAGCCCCCTCCCAGTTCCTTCCTCAAAAACACTCAAGGAAAGAGTTCACTGGGAATTCAGTCTCCTGTCATGCCTTGTTGTCCATTCATAATATTATCCTGAGAAAGTCTACCAGATTTTAAGCAAGCATGAAGTAATATCCCGAGAGAAAACATGATGTAATATCAGGATGGCCTTAATAGTGCAGTCCCTGACACACAGGGAAAAATAGAACCCCACTTCAGCTAACTAAGCCTAGTTAAACACTGGTTTCAAAATCATCTATTTTTTTCCAAGTATAGAAGTTAATTTCATACTTCTAGTTTCTGAGTTATTTTTACTAATGCAGAGACTGTGATGCCTAATAATTTACTGCCCAACATCAGGGAGTTTCTACAAATGTTAAATGGCTTGTTGCACCTCCTCACAGTTGGGCTTTAAGAACTTGGTTAAAATACCAAAGCCACTTAGCATTCGATAAAAAAAAATCTTTGTTCTATTCTGCCTGTTTTAATCACGTATACATGTATTTTAGTATTTTAGTCACCAACTGCTTTTTTTAAGAGATAATAATGTTTGTTGCAGCTAGTTTTGTCTTTATCAGACACTTGGTTACATATTCGACAAAGTAGAACTGTACAGTATCCAACTTGCATGTAAGGTATAATGCAAAAAGATCTGAACATGCTACTTTTTAAAACTCAAAAACAACTTCATGCCCATCAATAAGCATTACAACCCAGGCAGAACATTCAAGATTGAAATCACTTAGTTCATGCTTATACCTTGATTTTTATAAAACTTATACCTTGATAGCTGGTCAAAGATTTCAAGATTGGTTTTCATTATGGGACAGTCAGACTTGTAGTTAGTGTTAAATGTTAGGTCCCACCCTTTTTAGATTTTATGCAAGGTTTTGAAATTTTTAAAATAATACGCCTGGAAAGGTTAAAAAAAGGCAAATATTGAATTTGCAATTCAAACATTGTGTTTCTTTAAAAAATGCCAATAACTGAATGCAGAGCAGAGAGTATTGTGCAAAGTTGGTTGCAGAGGCGGTTCAGTTTTTTATCACAAATGAATACGGTCTCTGCAATGAGAACTGAAAATGAAAATAAAGTCGCATTCGGATATGATAAAATCTCTCTGAAAACTTGCTCAAAGTGAAGATCTCTAAACAAAACCCCAATTTCTTCACAAGAACCAAAAACAAAAGAAGAGAACACTTGTCGAGTTATTATTTTACAACGTCTGCCAGCACGTTTTGCGAAAAATGTTGTGCAACTACATGTAGAGCACCTACTCCTTATACTTTAACATTAGTGAAAGGAGTAATTAAAAATTCGACGGAACCAACGGTTTAATTCTGCATATTTAAGATGTCTGTTTATACTTTAACAGCTCAGGGCGCATTGTGCATTAACATTCTTCAGGGTTCATCTGGACAGCTTCCAAAGCGAATGATTAAACGTCACAAGCATTTTACCGATGCAGCCTAGCTGCGTTGTGAGAAGAGGGGGCCTGAGTTCTTCCAACGCAAAGACAATGAATCCATTTCCTGACGTCTCTCCAGGAGCCTCCTGAGTCCAAAACAATAACTTTGGACAATATACATATTAACCCTATTGTTTTACTGATACTCTTAATTTGACATCGCTTAAAATATGACTAAACCTAAATTACGCCTCATTGCATTTAAAACTGTAATTTCTATAACAGCATATTTCTCCGAAAAAAAAAAACATGATTTATTCGAGATTTAGAATATGACCCCTCATATTCGGGGAGATTTTCCCCTTGAATACAGTATCTTCCCCTTCAAAAACAGTATATGAAGACATCTGTTAAAAAATAAATGAAAAATCAGTGTACCCTTTTCACCAGAGAAATCTGTTATCCTAATGCTGCTCGCCTTAGCCTACGGTGGTATAATGGGCTTTCAGTCTAGTACAGTTTACTTTTCGTCGTTTTAAGAATAGTGTAGTCATAAACTGATGTTGTGATACGCTAATTTTTGCGCTTGCTTACGGTTACACGCAGCTAAATAGCTCCTCACCAGTCTCCAGCTGTGTGGAAATAACCGGATTGAGCTCTCACCTGTTCATTTACGTCCGCACTCGTTAGTTCTGTATCTATTCCTGCCTTATCAGATTTTGCACCTGGCCAACATCATAGTGTAAAATATGTAGCGAATGGTTCTATGTTTTGTATAAAGTAGCAAGATTCCAGGAAGGGGACCAAGTACCCCAAAGTGCCCATTACGGAACGAAACTGCACGCTTTTAAACTAGCACGGTGAAGACATCTGATTATAGCCTACGTGTTTTTTTAACTCGCGAAAACAAAGATCGACGTAGTTTAAAAAGTGCTGCAACTACAGTGACAACAGCCAAAAACAACAAAACAGTTTAGCAACAGTTTTTTTCACTTCTGGTCACACTTTTGCATAACTGCTGCAAGCACCATATTCCAGGAATAATATTACGTTATCGATACTGTTCCTCTTGTTGTTGTTGTTATTATTAAACTGCGCGAATACATACAATACTATGTTTTTGTATATTATTAAAAGCTGTGAAAGCCTACACTTTAATTAATATTAATGAACATTTTATATACTCAAATTAAGTTCTTTACACAAGACATTCGAAAAGTCGATCACCTAATTTCATATGCATTTTTCAGTATTTAAATACACACCCTTCATCCTCATCAAACGTAATCTCAGCACATCTGCAGGCACACACGAAACGAACAACAAAAAAGCCATCATTTTACTCAGAAAATAACGTCACAGTGGCACTGCCACTCTTACATTCAAAATTATAAGTTAAAAATCTTAAAATAGAAATAACTCTCTTACCAACCTACGCCGAGTAACAAAGGGATCTGTACTTGCAGTATCCATGCAGCAGCTGAATCCAAAATTTGGAAAATGAAATAAAAAAAAACAACTCGAGCAATTTTTTTTTAGATATTAGAGAGTCTTCAGCACTTCATGAATACCCAAATCCTTAAAACATTTTACGGTACTGTTTTCTGTATCCACTGGATGCTGGATTCCTGTGTTGTTTTTTTCAATCGGTACACCAAGGGTTAGAAGTTAGGTCGCTGTTGCCAGTTCACCCCCGCTGTTGCGCTACTTGTATTAACAGTAGGCTTCAGGGTGGCTGTGTGACGTCTCCTCAACAGGGAGACGAGGACAAGTCACTCGAAAAAAAAAAAGTTGCTCAGTCCCAAGCCCCGCCTTTGATACCCGGGGACCGCAAACATTGAGCAGCCGTTGCCAGGTAAACGCTTGAGCAAGCCCTGCTACCAGCAAATCCGAAAACGCAAAGGCCGGTGAGGTCTGGTTAGGACAGGGATATATTCATTTTAGTTTACATAAAACTTGAAACATTAAATAAAAATCGGATTGCATCACCTAACCCCTCCAACACCAAACGCACAACAACACGCATTTAGGAAATGTCCATTCGAAGGAAAATTCCCAAATCATTTTTGTTCCCCAAACACTGATCTTGAGTTAAAACCAACAAACTAAATGCTTACTAATAAGTTTGTTCCCTTATCACAAAGATGTTGATAAACTGTTCAGCACAACTGTCGGTTGGAATACAAAGTGAGATGTAAATAATTCAGTGTAAATAATAACAATAACGTAATAAACTACACACAAAGCTGTGCTGCTTATTTCGACATACTGCAGTTTGTAAACACTATTTTTAATGTGTGTGTGTTTGGAGGGGCACGCTACTGTTTTGTATCAATATCAACAACTGATAGAGTTAGGATTTAGTAAACACCGCACAATGAAATTTTGAAAACATCAAAATACCGATTTCGTTTTTACATCAACACAAGTGTGAGCTTCGTTAACAACGGCCAGTCTTTTGACAACAATGTTACAGAAAACATCTTTGATTTTGATAGACAATAAGGTTTGTTCCTTCTGGAAACAAAAGCGTTACTTTATGTCTTTTAAGTGTTACGTGTGGCCACAAAGCAATTTTCCATGATTGTGTAGGTTACTTGAAGTCTCCCTGCTTTTTTTTATAGGTGCCACTACTATGAGCAAAAACTGTTGAGCTTCACAGGCCCTGCGCTGTAAGAGGGTGATGTGAGAACAGTGCAGTGAGTAGCTGCCTTCCCTCACTGAATATGTCTATTGTATGAATGCAGATATGGCCTTTACAATTCACCGTTCTTTCCCTCGGCGGCAGTATTATTACAACAGCAAATGGAGCTCTGGAGAGAACAGCTCGCGTTTTGTCAAAGAAAATACAGTTTATAGGGTCAGACATGACCAGTTAGCTTTAACGTTTCACTTTTCAGCTCTGTTTTTCCTCCAAGTCGTACACAATTTCCGCCTTCCTCTAGAATGAGCATGGATGTAGATTAATTGATTGCCTAAACGGATCTTAATATAGAAATGTTTGTAGTGGCTGCTAACCCCAGTATTTCTTAAAAATACAACTCGTGATAAAGTAAGCAGTAAAAATTCAGAAGAAAAAAAAAGTAGCGGAAAGGACTTTCGACCATGTGTCCAAAGAACAAATTAACTGTTAACTGTAACCCTCGCCTTGGCGTACCCCAATCGACAGGAGCCGTGAACATTATATTTTTTTAAGTTTGTTGTCGTGAAAGGTATGAATAATCAATATGCTAACCGCCCTTCAGCGTAATGTGTTGTTTTAACTACGCACAATCTTTCATAACTACATTGATTTGCTGATGTACTATAAACAGTTGGAGTGTCATGCAGCATACAGGCACCACAATGAAATAACCGGCCCGGGATTGGTGGAAACATCTGTCACTCATTTCCCTGAGCTGTGTGTACTGTATTAGTGTCTTTACATTACACTTCATTCTCTCGTTGCTGTCGCGCACATCAATCACCAACTGAACAGACACACGTAGTGAATACAAAATAATAAAGAAAGGTGATTACCCCAACATGCATCCCTCCACCTCTAAACAACCTTTTCAACACCTAACGAAAATGAATATCCTGTCCATTAATTACACTTGTGTCCCAAGCGATTCCGATAATAAAAATGGCTATTTGACCTCCTTGACCTTTATTTGATCCTGTAGCTCTTTGAATCAAAAACATCTGAAGATGCGATATATCACTGCGGGCTTCTAAGTGTTACAGCAAGCTGTAATGTTATGTTTCGAAATGTATCTCTTTCGGCAGCTTGAAGAAAGCAGCGACCTATTTTTGTCTACCGAAAAACTGCCATGCAAACAGATGTTTATCTTGTAGTCTTCACTTGTCTCGTTCTTGCACTTGGGAAACCCCGAACTTTCAATAAATGTTAATGCTTTTAATTCTGTATGCACTGACAGGCTAAATCCACATTCTTCAACAAAAAGTTAGTCTGTAACACTATGCTAATATGCTTCAACTCCCACTGGCGTTTATTTGCATTACAAATTCCACAGGTTATAACAGTCCTTTCATTTCTTCTTCTATGAGAAAATACAATTAAGCGGACAATGAGCTATGTATAATAACGACATTAAACCGTTCGTAAAAAATACAGGAGGCAGTCAACAGCCTTCCCGGCACAGAGCCAGTGTTTCTTAAATGTATTATTACGTCATTCAAGCAAATAATAGTAACAACATTCTCCGCCAGAAATTTATTTGCGGTTACACCTCATAAGCTAAAGCTCTTTTATCAAGAAACTGTCCTCACCCAGGGCATGGATCTCCCTTTCCCTCCCTAACGAACTTATCCAAAGATACATCATGCCTATCAACTCTAGTGAGTCTTCACTTCGACCCCCCCTTGCCGCCCCGCACCCTCCTCCATCCTCAGCACAATCACCGAGTCATTATCATTTTCTCCAACTCCGCTCACAATTATAGTTTTACAATGGAGAGCGCTTCCCGAGCCTTCAAACTCTTTCCCTCGTTTTACACGAGATTTCTGAAGCCCAGCGCTGACCTGGATATGATTTTAGACAATTGTAATTAAGACATACCCTTTGCTACGACAGTCTTTGCCTCTGCCGTCAACATTTAAAACGATTCAAAGCCCGCAACTTCCTTAAAACGAGAGAGACTAACTGTCCGCTTCGTTTGATTCTATAGTTTTGCGCATAGAAGCATCAAGTAAGGTAACGCAATTAAAAATGTAACATCCAGCATTATATACACAACCTGAATCAATTACATTTGGACACCCTTAATAATTTAGAAAGGTGTCGTAGCCTTGATGCTTTATATCCTATCTTCCACAATAGTCAAACCATATATAAATGTTTACATACAATTTTTACTTTAAAGTGCTGCAAGCCCCTTCACTTCAGAATGGAAGGATACTGTCGCTACGCGAACTACAAAGATTTGAAAAGGATTACTGCCAATGTATCCGGCACCGCAATATTAAAACGATCTATTCCTCCTAAAAGCAAAGTTTAATATTTTTTGTTTTACAGCTCCAAGTGGCACGAAATTACAGTAATATACCTGAGCAAACCATCTTGATCAAGCGCGTTGCACATGAGCCCACGGGAGGAAGAGTTATCAGACCTACCTTTGTATATATTCAATATTTCAGAAAGGACAGACCGATAAAGAAAAAAAGCTGAAGGTGAAACCATGCGCTGTATGTAGAACTGCACATGATTGACTGAGCCGGCTCCATTATTCCAAAGGGGATTACTGTGAATCGGACGTAAATTTCCTGATCGAAAAAAACGCAAGCTGCTCCTTTTCTAGCTGTAAACCTAGGCGACAAGAACAACCTCCTTAAACGTCGAATTGTAAGATGCGCGTCACAGGCTGATTTTGAAAGAAAGCCAACATTTATAAAGCACTGGTCTTTGTCGTGGTACACCTGAGCCAGTAATGGTTTCTCCCGTATTAAATGCATACACTATCTACTATTGTCTCATCAGCACAAAGTTCTTGCGATGCGGGGAAAGTCTGAACGTGTTAAGTGACAAAGAAGCGCAATTTATTACCTCATTTATTGAACACATTCGTTCAGATATTCCTGATTTTAGATATCCTTAGAAAGACTTGTGCTGCTTCAACATATTGTTTTACTTTGGTCTTTCTAAAGCACACAGGTTAATTTGGCTGATCTCTGCATCGTACGCATAACGTAATCGGTAGAGACACGAAACTGCAGGCAGATTATGTCGAATATATAACAAGCTGGATCCCTGTAAATTCATAGCTGAAGAGCGTCTGCTCTCTACACAGACACAAGTCTAAATTGTTCACACAAAGTGTTTATCGACACGCCAATCATTTGTCTCCGTCCACAAATGCGGTGAAAAGCGATGTCCATACTAAGAAAGTGAAAGATGCGCAGCCTATGGGAAACACAAAGGACGCTTTGAAAAAAAAAAAACTTTTCCCCAAAAAGATAAGACTGAGCCCAAAGACCGATAACATACATTAAAGGTGTGAGTCATGTTTTTTTTTTAATCTGTATCAGAATTAGTACAGGAGTCTGGTCTTAACAGTAATGCAAGCTTTAGACAGATCATCATATCATTTTTATTTCATTCTGTTTTCTAAGACACTCAATCGGTACCTTTTAGAAGTGTGGATTCATGTTGAGCTATTTTCCCCTTGGCAGAGCGATTAGTCATATTTAAAACGAATCCTGAGGCCGAACGTTTGCATTTATGTTGGTTATTTTTTTAATACATCGACCGATTCTTCTTCTGTTGATGTCGAATACAGGCTATATTCAGATAGCGAGAAGGATATATTTAGTTTTAGTTCAGTTTTGTTTCATACGCAACATTTGAAGGCACGGGTCTGATAATAAGAAAAGGGAGAGCCTAGGAACATTCAGATTCCAAGGCGATCAGCCGAACCCGTATATCTGAATGGTATCCATACTAAAGGTCGCGGGAGGTCTCCGCCTGCATGTGAGTGGGAATGGAATTCGAAGCACATTTTCATTTTCCCGGTAAACACTGCGAGAGTCATTCATTGTAAATATCACCCGTCCAGTCCCGACTGCACATTTGCAACAATTGAGAATTATGCACAGTGTAATATGTATTTGAGATCAGTTTTTTTCTTTCAGCTATCGCTCTTCTAGGTCATGTTGTAGAAGTTCACCAGGCTGCCGTTGTGAAGGATTCGGGCTAAGTGTGTTAGTCGTTAGAACATTTGAAGTTCTTAATGGCCAGCCGACCGTT